TGGATTCGGTTAATCTATTAATCTAATAGAGTCTCGTAGATCAACTAAACAAGGTCTTGAATGCTATGATAACTTTTTGAAATGCACACATTAATTTTTTTTGTTTGTTTTACCTACCACCGCATCTCAAATCAAAACTAACCATTTGTGTATACCAAAGTATGTTCTAGTAACGAAGATGACAATTAGAAGCAACTGATCAGCACCTTAATCTTTTCTCGTACTCGATCTCGTATCCCAACATATATATACACATAATATAAGAAAGGTGACGATAATCTATGTCGAACTAAAATTCAAGAGAGAGATATTAGCGTGGTTTACAATAAAATATTTCACTTTTTCCGTTTCATGAAAATTGATGTTTTGAATTTTTTTTTTTTTCATAAAGATTAATGTTTTAAATTATTAAATAATATTTTCCGCAAACTTCAAGAAACATTAATTAAAAGTATTTAAATTTTGAATTACTATTGGTTAATATTAAAAAAATAATCCATTAATAACTTACAACTAATTATTTTTTAATTTGTGTGAAAAAACGAAAACATCAATTTTCATGGAACGGAAGAATTATAAATTTTGTTTGATTACCCAAAAAATGATCTAATTCAGATTTTGAGACGTGTTTGTCCTTAAAAAATGTAATTTCGAATTATACGCATTAATAAAAGCAATAGCCCTATACTTCTATGATATGGTTTTTGAGATCTTTGATTTCTAATTTATATGCTTTATGATATGTTGTTGAGGTCCATTATTTTTAATTTATCTACAGTTAACCAGTTACATATAATATTTTATTGCCGAAAAACTAGATATGACCGTCCTGATTTCTTATAAATTGTGGTGTGTATGAAAACAGTAATTTTTCATCTAAATAATATTATTTATAACTGAGTCGAATTACAAAGTTGAATACTTCGATATGTATGAAAATAATTAAAATAATTGACTTTCTTAGTTTATTTAGTTTATCAATTGTACCTTTTTTTTTTTGCAAGAACTCCACATAAAAATGTTGAGTAAGAGCAATTTCTGATGTATTATCGACGTAATTTTTAATACCATACGACTAAAGATAACACATAAAAACAAATTGTGGTAATTAATAATGTCACTTGCCCAATTTTTAAAACATTTTGGAGTACTGGATCGGATGTCGAACGAGGATGGGATCCACATGTCTAAAACAAACATAGGAACCACAAACACATGTATTACAAGTGAAGAGTTGAAACCAAACGAGTATGAAACGTTATAGACTCACATCGTTAAGAGCAACTATTTTGTCTCGTCATGAAGATGTTACCTTTAGTGACTAAAAGTGGTTATATTTTTTTGTGACTAAAAGAATTTTACAGTTAAATGTGAAACAATTTCATAAGGATGACATATTAAGAAGTGGTTTTTGTATTGTGTTAGTGCCTTAGTGGACAAAGCATAGAAAAAATATTGTGATGGTTTGCATAATCAACTGATGAATTAGTTTGAAATAACGAACTAGTTGTTGACTGAAGATAATACATATTGGACGACATCTTTATAAATAGTTTCATGGATAAATAAGTTCAAAAAAGGAGAAGCATAAGTAAAAGAAACCAAATTTGATTAAAAGAACTTAAAGGTTAAGAAGGTGATACATGGGTCCATGTTGTGTTATCTTCGCGCAGCATCACTTGCCCTCACACCACAAACAATCTCTTAAATTTTATATTTTATTTATTTCCCAATATAGATTAGAAAACTGTGAATATAATTGTTAAGCTACATATATCTTTTGCCATCCAATTTGGTAGCATGATGTTTTCGAATCTGCATTTCCGTAGTTAAAACAGTAATAGTATTGCTGACCAAAAAACCCACAAATATATGTTCTAACTACAAATATCTTGAAAAACATTTTTCAAAAAAAAAAAAACTACAAATATCTTATAACGTATATCTTCTCATAAAAAAAAAAAAAAACCTGATACTACAGATAATAGATGATAGTAGTTGGAGTTTGAGAAAAGTAACAATGAAACAGATAAATACGATAATTTATTATATTAATCCAAATACAATTTAGCATTCAAATTATTAAATTACTTGTAACTTAAATAGCTAAAGCAAGTATATGTTGTAAAAAAATGGTTAGATCATATTATTTCGAGATTTATCTTTTTGATTTCTTAGC